GAGCCGGCGGCGGGGCGCGGCGTACCGGGAGCCGGGCAGCGCCCAGCCCGGCAGCCAGCGGGGCGGCGGGGAAGGAGGAGGAGGGATCGCCTCGGCCAGCAGCCGGCTCCCCTCCGCCGCCCGGTTGGGGCCGGGGCCGGGGCCGCGCCTCCCCGCCCGGCAGGAGGTGGGACCAGCCCCGGCGCTGCCGCCCGGCTCCTCCTTCCATCCCTCCATCCCTCCCTCTTTCCCTCCCTCCTTCCATCCCTCCCTCTCTCTCCCTCCCGAGGGCTGAGCCATTCCGGGAAGGCGCCCGGCTTCCCCCCGCCGCTCCTCGGTTAACGCCGCACCGGCAATCGGCCGCCGCCGTCACCGCCGGGGCTCGGCCCCGCGTCTCCCCGCGGCGGAGGAGCTTGCGCCGAGGTGCGGGGTTCCCCGCTCTCCCCGGGAGCGGCGGGCAGGAGGGGGGGAGGCACGGGAGGACAAGTGGACCGAGCGCCCGGGAACGGGGGGCGGCGGGAGTGGGGGGTGTGTGTGTGTGTGAGACCGACCGGCCGCCGCGTAGTTGTTTTGCCCGGGGTAAGTTGACCGATCGCCGGGGGAGGCTGCGCTCGGAGCGGGGGCAGCGCTCGGCTCCACGGCTCCCTGCCGCCCCCAGCCCCCTCGGGGGGGGGCGCCTGGTTTTTTTTTCCTTCTTTTTATTTTTATTCTTATTATTATGGGGTCTGCGGGGTCGCAAATCTTCCAGTCCGGCGTTGCTTTTCTTCCTTGTCCAACGCTCTGCGGAGAACTAGAATATTTCTTCCCCGAGATGCTGCAGTGAATTTTAGTCCCAGGAAATCAAGGCGAACAAAAATAATCCGAATAACCCCAACCCGTTTGTTACCGCGCCAGAGCAAACGCTTGCCCAGGCACAGATGATGGCAAAGAATTCCCTGGAAGGGTCTAAAGAAGACCTGAGCAAAATTTCGGAAGAGGAGATGCTGAGGTGGAGCAAGGAAGAGCTGGTGAAAAGACTGAGGAAAGTGGAGAATGAAAAGATGAACTTAATGGTGGAACACGGCAACTTAATGAAGGACGTGAACCGGCGGCTGCAGCTCCACCTGCACGAGATCCGCGGGCTGAAGGAGGTGAACCAGAAGTTGCAGGACGACAACCAGGAGCTGAGGGAGCTCTGCTGCTTCTTGGACGACGACCGGCAGAAAGGCAAGAAGCTGTCGAGGGAATGGCAGCGCTTCGGGAGGCACACGGCCAGCGTGATGTGGAAGGAGGTGGGCATGTACCAGCAGAAGCTGAAGGACCTGGAGGCGAGGCAGGAGACCCTCCTGCGGGAGAACGTGGAGCTGAAGGAGATGGTGCTGATGCTGGACGAGGAGCGGAGCGGGGCCGGCTCGCGAAGCTCCATCGACAGCCAGGCCAGCCTGACCAACCTCAACGGCGGCTCGGCCACCAGGGACGTGGGGGACGGGAGCAGCACCTCCAGCACGGGCAGCGCGGGCAGCCCCGACCACCATCACCACCACCTCCACCACCACAAGACCGGCGACAGCAAGGCCGGAGCCATGCGGAGGTCTATGGATGACCTGTCCGCCCCACTCCACCACCGGAGCATCCCCAACGGCCTCAATGGTGAGCCTTTCCCCCCTCCTAGCCCCCCCTCCCCTGGCAGCAGCCACCTCCCCTTGGCAGGTCTGCCCACCCTCGCCAATGGGGTGAGGGATGCCTGGAGAGGAGAGTCCTTGCCATCCCCACCCTTGCCCACCCTTGGTGACCTCTTTGGAAGAGCAACCTCAGGGGCCAGGGAGGGGCACCTGTGTGCAGGGGGTGGTGGTGGTGCTCCTTGAGCTGTGTTACCAATGTCTGGGGCTGAGGGTTGGAGCCTTTTTTATCTGGAGGGTTGGTGGGGGTTTTTTTGTTTGTTTGTTTTGGTTGTTTGTTGGTGTTGGGTTTGGGTTTTTTTTGACAAAAACCAACCTGCATTTTCACGCTTAAGTAAACACTGATTTTTCCAGCTCTGCCTCCTCTCTCTCCCCCCTTTTAAATATTTTGGTTTATGTTTGACTTGTTAGTCTGCTGGTTTGGTAAGACTGATAGAGAGCCTGGACGAGATTTTGGAAGCGTCTGGTGCAAGGGCAGGTCTGCCCCACAGAGCATCACCTGTTAGCTCCGTGGGCTCCCAGGGCTGGCTCTGGCATGCTCAGTAGTTTTGGAGAGGTGCATCCCCCTCAGTTCCCCTCCTCTGCTTCCGAAACACAAGGTTTGTTTGTATAGAAGAGATGACTTCTGAAGGGATGCCGTACTCACAATTTTGTTTAGCCTAGTCATTAAAGTTAGGAACAAGCTCCACTGTGAAATCCTGCCAAGCCTCCTCTGACAGTTTGTATTCAAGGAAAGTTTCTCCTCTTGTCTAATAGTGATCGGGCATTGCAATAATAATATTGGAATGTCCTTAAAATGGACATTTTTTTTTTCACTTTTGAAACCACCAAGACCAAATACTTGACTCCTACAATAAGTGGTTTGGCCAAGAGGGTACAATAGGAATCAAACCAGGGACTGATCTATTTAGTTGTTGTATGTAAGTTTCCTTTTAATGTTCTTAATCCTCTTTTCTAACCAGAGAGGACTTTTTTTTCTGGTTGAGGTGCCCTTTCCCCTCCTTCAAGCACGAGATAGGGCTGGAGCCCCCCAAGGTTGGTTCCATGTGTCAGCAGTGGATGTGTTTACTGACTAACCCAGAGCCTTCGGTGATCCTGGTGGGACCAGGGAGTCCTGGTCCTTTTTTGTGTCTTATGGTAAGTCCCTATGCCCCAAGAGATCTGAGGGCACGCAGCACTGATCAGCCCAGGTCTCAAGTTCATGAATTTGCCATGCGCGGTCCTGTTGTTGCAGCTGTGTGTCTCCACTCACAGCTGGAGATGTTCTGGCCACCTCGCCCAGTAGACAGGGATTGCTTGTTTCAAGGGTGATCCACTCGCCAGATGTTGCAGGGCACAGCAAGCATCTTTACATGTTTGTTGTTTTTTCTCTCTCTCTCTCTCCTAGTGCTGTGTAAATCAGAAGTGTCTGTTTTGTAAATCTGCAGATAGCTTCTGCTCCTGGTGTGACTTGACTTTATTTTCGTAAAGCATCGAGCGCCGTGCGCAGAGGCCCAGGGAGCACTTGGCAGATGTTGAACGTTTGTCCCCAAACGTTACTGTTTGGGGACAGAAGGGCTTTGCCGTTCTGGTTTGTGAACCTTAGACCACATCCCTTTTAGGTACCGACAGCTGACTGGGACAAAGCCAGTTAGAATTCATTCCTGTTAACCCAGGGCATGTGGGACACCAGAGCTCACCCTTGAACCTGGTGTGAGGCACCGTGAGAGTCTTTGCGTGGGGTTCAAGTCACCCCTGTCTGCATGAAGAGGAAAGGCTCTGCTTGCAGAATTCGGCCCTCATTGCCCTCAAACGCTGTGTGTGGGACAGTGTCCAGCAGCATCATTCGGAGGGGACTGAGAACTGAGTCTCGTGTCCCACCCCATGTAGGGTAAGCGTAGGGAGGGGTGGTAGAGCATCTGCACACGTAAATGTTTGCCTACGTGCCTTTGCACCCTTTCCCATGCTCATCTATAGAAAGGAGGAGTCTGGGCTTCAGCATTTCGGACATGACCTTAGATTTTGGTGACTTCTGGTTTTGGGGTGCCGGTGGAAGATGTCTCTGTTGGGAAGCTCTCTTTGCTGCGAACCTGCGCGGCTTCGTTTCTGAGGGTGGGACAGATAGGATCAGCGCTTTTAAAGCTAATAATCCTTGTAAAGATGCAAACAAGCTTGATCTCTCCACTTAGGTAGTGAAGCTGTGAAATGACTTGAATAGTTGTCGTTCTCAGATAGCATCGGTATTCAGCGAGGCCGTTTCCCTGGCTGTGCCTTTGGAAATGCCTCTCAATACATATGCAAATGCAAAGCTTATCAGGCCCCTTTTTTTGACTGACAGCAAGAAGTCTTGGAGGGGGGACGGAGCCGGCAATTCTGTTCAGCCGGTGACAATGTGGAGGAGGGAGCAGGGCAGGGGAACGTGAAAAACCACCCCGGTGAGTCCGGTGGGCGGTGGAGCTGTCAGGGAGCAGCGCTGGCAGAGAGCATCCTGCCCTGGCTCCCGGGGCCGGCTCTGCCTTCCCTGCTTGCAGCTTAGAGCTCAGCCTTTTTATACTCTTTTTTTCTGATTTTTTTTTTTTTTCCCCTCTGGGTTAAAATGGAAGGGAGGAAGAGGAGAAAGTGTGGCGTTTCATTTTTAGGTTGCAAGCTTCAGTCTGGTGTGCTGTTGTCTCACGTCTTTAAAACACTGGGTAATTAACCTGTGAAGGTGGATAAAGCAGGTCAACTAATACGGCAATAAACAGCCCTCGTATACTTTCTTACAGAGGGTGGAGAGGGATCTCAAAGGGATGCAGGGCGGAATTTAACATCTATAGTAAGAACCCAGCAGAAGCCTTGGACAGCTGGTGGGGGCAAGGCATGGGTGAGCTGTTTGCTAGAGCACTTTTGCTTATGGAGAAGCTGGGAAGTCCTGAAATGTGCTGCCCCTGCTAATGGTATCAGCAGGGCTTTGTGTGGTGCTCTGCTTTTCCAGGAATTAAGCAAGACTGTTTCACTTCTTTAGTGCTTTTTTAAAGGAGTCAAGAGTCTGGTGGCTGTTAAACATTCCTAGGGAGGTAGCTTCAGAGTGAAACCTTAAGCGAGCAAAGGTGGATTCAGTATTTCTCATTTTCTCCTCAGTGATCCTTTGGAAGTGAGTTGGTGAGTGAGGGTTTGATTTATTGGCCCCAGTGACCCATGCCAGTGGGAGGTGATGAACTTGTAACGAGAATTCAGTCTAAATGGTATGAGTATAAAAACCGAAAAACCAAACCAACCTGTGACCCACCTTCCCATCACTTTTCTGAAGCCTTTTTTCTGTTATAAACTGGCTTTTTGGAAGTTGGTACTTGAAACCTGATGGTTAATTATCCACTTATAGAAGATAATATGATAAGTATATGATAGCATGAAAATGTCCAATATTAGGTTGTACATGTAATTTATGCAGCTCTGGGTATTCTGCTGAGAGCCAGGAGGAATTCTGCTTGGTCTGAAAGTAGATGGCGTTTCCATGTGTGAGCTGGGACCTGGGCTGTGGGACAGGGGCATCTCTGAGCTTTCGTGGTGGGAACTGGCTGGTTGCATCCGTGTTGAGTGATATGCCACAGTTCCCATAAATCTACCCGCAGATCCCGGGCAGAAATTAAGGCAGAGTCGCTGTGTTGTGCTTGTGAGTGCTTTGGCTTTTTGTTGAATGCACGATGAGAGTCTCTGTGTGTGTACATAGTCCTTCTGCCCGTCCAGCTTCAGGCAGCGCCATTGGAGCGATGGCCGTTGCTACTGCCTGGTTCCTGGCAGAATAACATTTCTGAAAAAAACCTCTGAATTAAAAACAGAAGACAGCCACATTGGGTGATATGACCTGAGGGAAGGAAAAAGCCTTCAGGTGCTATAGGATGTGTCCCTGGACTGTGAGGTATGTGGGAACACTGGGAGGAGTGACTCAAAGCTCCCCGAGGCCAGGGCAATGGCTTCCACTGGTTGTAGCCTTATCTAGATGTGACTGGGACAACTGTTTATCCATCTGCAAGCCTGGAGGCATGCAGACTCACTAGCTGGTGAAGTGCCTGGGACAAAATCCTGCATGCAGAAGGAGCTTTCAGGCTTTAATTCCTCCCCCCCACCACCCCCTATCAACTGAATGTTGTTGTTGGAACTTCTCCTTCACCTTCCACTGAAGCTGTTTGCTCTGAGTTGCCAAAATGAGCATTTACTATTTTCCAGTTGGGTAAAAGGTTAATGTGTTTCTGTATCAACATGTTGTGTTGTTTTTCTTTTTTTAATTATTAAAAGCATCAACACTTAAAAAGTGGTCAGAGAGGCCCAGAAGGAAGCCGTGGATATGGCAGATAGCCTGTAGTTGCAGAGACATTAATCTATGGCCTCTTGCTGTTGTCTGCTCCAATGGAAGAAGAATGGTTTCTCCGGGTGAGGGGGTGGGAAGATCTCTGCTTCTATTGATTCCCACTTGTAAATGTCCACATATTTACCTAGAGGGTACGATATATTACAGTTAAAATGGTGGCAAAGAGAAATGGCTGTTCCCTGTGGGTTGGTATTGATCGGACGTGCAGCTACCCGTACTTATTTCTCCTCTTCTTCACACAGCCTTTAGGCCAAAGTCCTTTGTTTTTATTAGTGTATTTATAATCAATATACATATTATTTACTATGACGTATTAATGAGGCCTTTGAGATGAGAAGATGCAGGGGCAGAAGCAAAGGGTGAGGTTCATCCCATTTAATTTGAGATATCTCCAATATAGACTTTAATGTCTACATCCCCTTGGGCTTCCTTTATCGGCCATGTGGAGAAAGGCACTTTGGTGTCATGATTTATGTCAACTATGTCTGCGTTAGAGGGAGTAGAGCTGTACGCTAATCGTGCTCTTTCTCTCTGCTGATGGGAAGGCAGCCTGGATGGCTAGTTCATATGCAACCATCTGAAGTCAGGTGAGATCAGTCCTGTGCGAGGTGTTGTGGTGACCATTGGTCACTCTTCCAGTGCCA